TCAATAAAGGTTGACGAAAGTAAATCAGGGTCGGGGAATATGAATCTGCAATCAATTTTTCCAAATTTTGAGTTTCAGTTTTCTTAGACAAAGAAAGACATTTTTTAAGAGAAACATGTTTTTTTATAAAGTTTGACTAAAGGTAATCAAGGTCGAGGAGTCTGAAGCTGAAGACAGCTTTTCGGTTCGAGCTTTCATTGAAGATTCCTATACATGCGCTTACAGGTAACTGCAAACAAGCACACAAACATGGAAACGCATCTGATTGATATGAACCTCTCTTCAACCGAGCGAATAAAGATGTTCCTTATATCTTCGAAAGAATGCTTTCTAAACTATGATTCTATCGTGTAGAATATTGATCCATTCCAATATCTCGATCAACAATAATAATAATCGTTTGGGTTTTAATATCTCGGTCATCTGTCGCAAGTATATCTAAAACAAAATGATAATTTTGTCGCATGATTCGTGATTAAAATGCACTGCACTGTCTACCAAACGTTTTATTTTATAATTAACAAAATCAATAATATAATCAAAAACAAAAAACATTCTTAATTTGAACATGTTCTTTTATAACTTGAGAAATATCTTCAATATGTTCTGAAATATGATCCGAGTTATTAATTTATGTTTGAATTACTGCAGGCTCAATATTAATAAATAATGTTTCAATCCAATTCAGACTTTGAGTCTCATGAAAAAGATAAAGAACATGTCTAGCTCGATCTAAATACATATTATCAACTTTATCAATAACTAAACACTTATTTCTATTTTGAAATTGTTGATCAAATTTTTTTTTAATTATTAAATTCTTCAAAAATATCGCGTTGAAATGCTTCAACATCTTCATCAACAATATTACATTGAAGTGAATTTAAATCTGATGTATCAGATTGATGATTAACTTCATCATTTTCATTACAAATATGATAGCTCTCAGATTTTAATAATTGAAAGAACAGACTATATTTTTTGTTTTTTTTCTGTTGCTAAATCTTGATTCTTAGAAACAATAGCTACAAAGCTTCGGTATAAAGCTAGTAATAAAGCAGTTAATCCTACAATAAGAGTTTTTCCATCACCTGTTCGAACATGTTCAAGAAGTCCTCTTCTATCACTATAATTACAAATTAATAAAGCAACTATTTCAGTATCTTTTAAAATTTATGATTTAATGGGAACTGACCAAGTGTAAAAAACTAATGATATAATTCCAT